CAGTTTCATATTTCTTTAACAAACTTTTATTTTTATCTTTCTCTTAAACAAACACATTGAACTGGCATTTTTATAATCACTTTCCAGATTATTCCACAATCTTATTCCCTGAACGGAAGTACATCGGTCCTTCAAGTTTTGTTCGAATTCTAGATTTCACAAATATCTCAAGTCCTTTAAGATTATAAGAACTTTCTCTCTTAACAAAATATAACTGGATGTTTAAAGGCAACATTTTTTATGAGCCTTATATATAATCTGAAAAATATTATAATCAACCAACTCATAAAATTTTAATAATTTTAATTTACAAAATAATATATTTGAAGGGTGACTGTAATGTTTTCTGGTGATAATTAATTATTACTGCTCTTTTCTGTAAAATAAAAATAGGATTTGTGATTGTTTTACATGCTTTACCTCAGACTTCAACACAGTAAATCAAGTGTGGAACAATTATTGTATTATACAATATAAACAGAGCTTTACCATTGAATAAATCCCTTACTTTATACAGTACTCCAACAGATTTAGCTATTTTTATTCTTAAAATGAGCTCTCCTGTCAGCTTTTCATCAATGATAATGCCCAAAAACTTTATCTCGCTGACTCTACTAATCTCAACACCAACTTTAAATGGAAAATCAATAGTTTTCTTTTTATTACTGAATATCATGTAATTAGTTTTATCCAAGTTTAGCGACAATTTGTTAAGTTTGAGCCATGTTTGTATTTTTACAAATTCTGTTTGTATCCTTTCCAACATCCGTTTAATACCCAAACAAAAAAATGTAGTGTCATCAGCAAACAGAACACATTTAAACAACCCTGATACATTTACTAAATCATTTACATACAAAATAAACAGCTTTGGTCCAAGTATAGAACCCTGAGGAACTCCACATGTGATATTACTGAGATACTGTCATTTATTTGAACAAATTGCTATAGGTAACTATAAAATAAAAGAGGGAAGTCTGTGGTGTTGGTCAAAAAATTAAACCATGTTTATTTTTTATGTCGCTCCTTTGCAGGTTACCAGTTGTGTCTTTATTGTTGACATTTAATATAAATGCTGTGTAGCTTGTGTAGCTTGCAGGCTGCTTCTGAAAACCATCACAGAACTGTCGTTTTTTTTTGATCACTGAGCTGTACATCGTCCTCCGCAGCATGCGCTCCATCCTGCGGAATCACCGCTTCCGTCGCGACGCACGGACATTAGACGACGAAGAGGAAATGTGGTTTAACACAGACGAAGATGACCTGGAGGACGGTGAAACAGTTGTTCTGCCTTCTGACAAGATGAAGAGTGAAGAAGACCTCATGGAGCCAATTAGCAAGTTCATGGAGAGAAAGAAATGTAAGTGTGGGAAATCTAGCAGTTGGAAGATAATCCCTGTAATCATGTAACGTGCATTTGTTTTAGCTGATCAGTTAAGAACTAATTAAATTTAAAAATCTTATCCAGCAGTTCATATTTTCTGAGTTTTCTAATTCACGCGAAATATAGATTTGAAATTAAGTGTCCAGTGTTTCCTGTATTAMTTCCAGGAATAAATTTTAACAAAATGTTTTTATTTGTTTACTTTTTCCAGTAAACTATCACAATGGGCCTCATGCAAGAACATGTTCGTATTCTTATCCTAAATTTCTCTTACTTTTGTTCGTACGAAGGGTTCGTACGAACATGTCACGTCAGGTTCAACAAACTCTTCTATCTTCAGGAAAAGTGTGTAAATGAGCTGCGTAAATTCCACCTGTTCATATCTTGTGCATGTGAGAGGAGATAATTACCACCCCAAAAACACCATATAAGGCTGTGTTTCCTGCCTCAGATATCAGGAAGTGTCCATTCATGTAAATG